TTTGTTAGTTAGTGAGTATAACTCATATGTGCTTGCAATAAAGACCCCAAGATTGCCGGAAGTACGCATTTCTGACAGTACCTTAACCAAAGATCTTGTCTTGCATTGCTCAAAGGCCATGGGAGGTATAAAAATTCACCTAGTACACTTAGAAATAAAGGGAGAGCCCATCTTCTTGTGTATCTGTTTACTACAGTGCCGCTGAAGAAATTAAATATATTCTTAAGGAATTACAAAGGTCAAGTTGTTTTCTTCAAATAGACCTGAAAGATGCGTATTTGCAAATTTCATTGGATGAAATCTCTAGTGAACTAACTACTACTATTACATCATTCGGGTCGCTCAGATATAAATTCTTGCAATTCCTATTAATTGTCTCTCCTGTGAAATATTTCAGAAGGTTGTTAATCACGTTATCACCAGTCTTAATAGTGTTAAATAGTATCAGAATGATATCATAGTTCATGTTGAAAATATTAGGTTACATAATGGACGTCTCTTAAATTTATTCGGACACTTTTGTGACACAAATGTGTTCGTAAACTCATCCAAGTGTCAGTTTAAACTTAATTCTATCAACTTCCTAGTCTATAATGTAGATGCTAAGGGTATTAAACGTGATATGAGCCGACTAGATACATTGACTCAAGCACCGTCACCTGCGAGTTTCTCAGCACTTAGATCATGTACTGATAATCTTCAGTTTTATTACAAATTTATTCCTAACTTTAAAAAAGTATTGTCCCCACTTTTTGACTTGGTTTATAGTAGAGAGCTTGCATGGAAACTAGGACACAAGACTATACTAAGAAACACTTAACAGTTTAAATAGACAGGCTTTCCTCAAACTGTTTTCACCGACTAAAAAATCTATCCTAAGTAAAGACATTTAGCGGATGAAGACTTGGTAGGGATACTAATAATAATAATGCCTCTTACAATCCAATCTGCAGTATTAGATGACCTTCATTCCACTTATCTCAGAGCGAAGAAAATAAAATCACTTGCTCGTCAGACTTGCTGGTGGCCTGAGATTGACGCTGATATAAATCGAAAACTTGTTCCGCGTGTTTACACTATTTATTTAAAAACGTAGATATTGGTACAAGGAGGCACCAAATATATGTGCGCCACACAAATCATTCGATCTGTGAGAGGGCTGGAATACTGCCTGGACACCCAATCCGAAGTAGGTGGTTTCCTTAGAAGAACACACCCCGAGACATTTAAATAAAGGTCTAATCCACAAGGCAGTGGAACAACGTCAGGAGATACAGTCCCACGGTAGCTAGTAACCATTTGGTTCATACGCCATTTGTCCCTACAGGATCTTGGAGCCCATGTGCACCATTGGTTTTGAATCAGGGTTTTCCAACTCCCCTGAGGCCTGAGAGCATGTCCGCATTGACTAAGAGACAACAGCTTGAGGCCGGTCACACACGACCTTTCTTTGAGTAATTTTCATGTTAGCTCCGTACTTGTTGAGACCTTAACTCCCTGTACTATATCCTTATATGTGATCTTTGTTTTATTTATTACGACCATTGAATTAACTACTTCTATGAATTTGGTGTTCATCTTGCTATGCTAATGAAGTGTGGCAACTTGGACCGACGTGAAAATATGCCTGGTCCTACGTTAAAGTTGACTGACACTTCGTTGTTTAGTATATGTATATACATTATAGTAAATTACGTTCTTTAATCTATATATATCAATAAATTACTTTTTATTTATCAATTATTATTGAGTAGTAATGTTTACGTTTACTAACTAACAAATAGACGAACAAACTAAAACTCTAAACATTCCAAAACAACAACCTAAGGGTGAATCAATAGACATAAGCATCAAATAGTTCGGTTTGTTTATTTATCATCCATCCAGTGAAAATCACATTGGTACATTTACTTTTATTGATTAACAATGGAATGTTTGAAAAGTTCAAGGATATATTTATCTGTACATGTACATGTTTAGTTACGAACAAGAAAACAAATAGCAAACTAAAGTTTCAAGTTAAAATTTTTATAACATAACTGAAGTATCATTATTGATTGCGATCATGAACTGATTGGTGTTAAACCACCACTGAAAACCTGGAAGCACTGGACGACCCTTTCGTCCTCAGCAATGTGTATCCACGATCTCGCTCGCGGGATTCGAATCCAGGTTAGATATTAACACCGTTGGATGCCGGCTCAGTAGCCTAGTAGGTTCTCGCGCGAGACTGATAGGACCTATATTCGAATCTCGCGTGGCAGGATCATGGATGCGTACTGCTGAGGAGTCCTACAATAGAACGAAACGACGGTCTAGTGCTTTCAAGTTTTCAATGATGGTCTAACATCAATCGGTACATGATCTTAATCAATAAGGTCATTAATTCGCATTATTTGACCTTTCATTGTGTACATTTCAAAAACAAGTTAGATTAACTTAAATAGTATCTATTTCACAGAAAAAATGACGCATTTTCCAGTTCTATGGATTCTTACTAAACTTAAAAGTTATGGGATTATGAATATAGAATCATTTTATATTTGACTGAAGTAATACATTTGATAAGATGGTGTATAATGTGAAGATGACGTTCATTCTAACCATATGATATTATCGGCAAAATATATTTCAAGAAGTAATTCGATCAAATGTTAAGTTTCCACATTATTTATGTGAGAAATAAGAGTCAAACCATAAGAATAAGAATACCATGTCAAAGACTGCTCCATTTTCGATTGTATGTATTATCTACTTGCTTACTTACGCCTGTTACCCCTCATGGAGAAGCATAGACCGCTCATCAGCACTCTCTATTCAACCCTGTTCTAAACAATCGTTTCCAGTTGCTATTTATCCTTTTCATGTATACCTCCGATTCTCGACGCAGTGTGTTCTTTCGCCTTCCTCTTTTCCATTTCTCTTCAGGATTCCAGCTTACCCCGTAATGCAGTTTGGTGATTTCCTCAATGTATGTCCTATCTACTTCCAACTGCTTTTCCTGATTTCCTCTTCAGCTGGAAGCTGATTTGTCCTCTCTTACAGTAGTCTGTTGCTGATTGTACCCAGTCAATGGACATTGAGTATCTTGCGTGGACAACCGTTTATAAATACTTGTACATTTTGGAGAAGTGTTTGGCAGCTCTCCAAGTTTCAGTTCCCTACAATATAACTAACTGTTTTGACGTTCGTATTAAAGATTGTAACCTCGATATTGCTTGATCCTCCACGTTCATCGATGATGCTACCCAGATACGTGAAACCTTCCACAGCTTCTCCAACAACTGTGATTGGGTTGGTATTCTTCGTGTTGTATTTGAGGATGTCGCGATTTCCTTTGTGTATGTTGAGGCCTATTGATGCAGAGGCTGCTGTTACAGTCTGTCTTGACCTGCATTTTTTGATGTATATGGGATAGAAAGACCGGTTCATCTACAAGTCCAAATCTTCTAATTGATTCCGATCTGTCCATTGTATTTCATGCTTTCCCTCAGATGTCGAGGTCTTCATATTCCAGTTCGGTTGCTGTATCAAGCCCACACAGCTTATTCTAACTTCCGAACAGGCAAATTGAGTCACATTTTGACCTTGTTAATTATTCGCGTATCAACCTTACTTTTATATGAACGTATGTGTGCGCATTTCTAATCTTACTCAGTATGTCTTTAGCTTATTTTTATTTTGATTATAAATATCGATTCACAATTGGTTAGATCGAACTGACTCACACACCTCTCCTTTTCCTTCTCTGCGTTTCTCTGACTGTCTGTACCGACCAACGATTGTACGAAATGTACGTATTCAAATATATATCTGTTCTGCACTGGAGTCATTACTACTTAAATACATATAATAATTTATATCGGCAGTAAGTGGTTTTAAGGAACTTGAGAGTATCACGTTTCTCTTCTGTTGTGAATTACCAATCTACATTTTGTACTTCTACTTCAATCAATACTCGTACAGGTAGGAACATGCATAGTAGCATTTTAGCCAATGAGTATGTATTGAAATGACCTACGATCCCTGGAGCCATAGATAACTGATACATTTTGTTAGTAATAAGAATTGCAGCTGTTTTATATTGAAATAGAATGTAAACCTAATGAAGGCTATCTACTAAGACACTAGTCAAGCTTAGGATTACGGCGACCTGTCACCAGAACTGTCTACCTCAAATAATAATCGATAGGATTGTCCGCTTATCTCACCACATATAAATTTTCCACAAACACTCGGTAGGATACTACGTGACTGAAATCATGGAGAACCGAGATATCTAAATTGATAACTACTGAGTACTAACCAATGTTGTGCTCGTCCAGTTTTTAATGCCGATCGACTTCTACGGATTACGTTGCAAGCGATTCCAAGTCACTTAAACTTGTAGCCACACTGAAAGTTGTTGACGAGAATTAAGACACACGGAGTCTGGGTCGTGGGTGCATCGACCACATATTCACCATTCGTCAGGTTCTAGAACACAGGCATACTTATCGGTATCCGACAATGGTGGTTTTTCTTGACTTAATGGCAGCATTTGACTCCGCAGACCGCGAGATTCTGTGACACTGTCTGTCATTGAAAGGCGTACCTCAGAAGTACATAAACCTTGGACCAATGCATATATGTGCCTAGTCCTACGTTGTAGCTGACTGACTCCTTCGAATATCTGACATCAAATATAAATTTATTTGATCAGTTGATCTAGCAACAAACTGGTGCTTTTAAACATTCATGTTTGCCTATTCTTAAACTTTCTTATAACATAAAAGGTGCAATCAGCTTTGTTTATTGTATGATATGGTTCATGTTTGTATACGATGGACCTAAATTACATCCAAGAATATCTATGAAAGAAAAGACTTATATTTAGAATTAACCTGTCCAGGTAGAAGGAACACAAGCTATGCTAAAAGCGCATTCCCAAATCATCAGATGATTTTAAAAAAGAACACTTGTAAACAAATTAGCGATAGCATTACACTCAATAGAATAGGGTCATACAGTTGATTTCAATGACACAATCCTTCGAAAAGGTTTTAATTCTTACAAAGAAAGACTAATAGTCGAAGCCCTACATATATGGGCAAATCCAAATAGTACTAATAGGAGAGATGGAATACAATTGGCTATTCCATGGAAAATAATAACTGATAAGTAAACCTGAACGCCCTATTTCATTTAATACACCATTCATTTTCTGAATAACAACAAATACAAACTGTTCTAGTCAGTTGTCTTATATTAAACAATTAACTAGAAAAATAAAAATGACACAAACATTTATTCCTTCAAATTCACTTGATGTTGTTTGCTTGTATCTTCCCATTGTTGTTTAGGACAGCAATTCATCAGTCTCTTACTGGCACATGTGCGGATTGTCTTAACTCTAAGCAAAGATGGATAGTGGAATCTAGGACGCATCTTCCATCTTATTTGGGACTTGTCAGCTAGAGTTGATGTTCACTATAGAACTCGAACCCAGTACCGTTCGCTTCAAAAGCCATCACGTTATCCACTTAGTTATTGAGTCCTGATGGTCATCTGTTTGTCCTTTATTTTTTATTTTGTTTATTTATTTTCATTTTATGCATGTTGTGACATATTTTTGATTTATATCATATTTATGTGTTTCTTAAAAACTCACCGATCACAGGCAATAATATATAGTGAATGAGATCTCTTCTCATACCACGTACGAATACACACAATCTGTTAGGTTAACACACTTTTCACTTCACACCAAATGTCTTTTGCACATTAAAATAAACATTGTTAAGGTTGATTGGATGACTTATTTAGCATACAGTTAACCAGAGAACTATGTACTTATTTCTATTTCTATTTGATAGATTTGATGCTTGATTATATCTCCTTGAAAGGATTGGACCAGATTGCCAGGAGAAACGTTTGATCTATTACTTCAAATTCATTCGCTGACATTTTACAAATACATGTTTTTCGTTTATAATGTCAAATAATTACTGTTTGGATCCCACCAGTGGAACTTGGTGATATTTGAAATTCAAGCTTCTTTCTAAAGATAAAAGGCTATCTGTTGTTGGTACTCCACATCACTATCTAAAGCAACAAACAATAACTCATTCATTCGATATGTCATATTTTACAAATTACACACCACACTACACTACACTACAACACATGGAATAAACGATACACAAAAAAAACAACAAACAAACACCAATCATACAATTGTGCAGTCAATATATATCACATCAAGACCACAGGATATGTGTATAAACATTTGCGTGTATACAATGAAGTCAGAAAAGCATACGCTCCACAATACTTGCCATATATATGTAGATCAACTTCAACTTGATCTGTAAAGTCTTTAGCTGAGAGCATTGACTCTACAATAAAAAAATGAGGTTCGATGTCTTTCAAATATAAAACCATAAATCAGTAAGTTAGTGGTACAAAGGAAAGAAGAAAAACATGAACGAAATAATCTTCCTATTTAGAAAAATACAATTATTTATAATCAATAATAAATTCAGACCGATTTCCATGTGCACCGATCATAGGAGCAGTTATTAATCTTGGAGAGAATTTAAATGCTGGTGCCATTACTTTACGATTAGTATTCAATTTTTCAACCTTTGCGTAACCATTCCAATGATTACCATGGAAGTGGACTAAATCACCAGGAGATAAACCATGTTCTTTGCTTGATATTAATACTTCATATGGTGAGGCTTGTTGTCCACCGAAGTAATATATATCATCCAATGAACGAAATTGTTGACTTGCATCACCTAATTCTAAATGATTAGACTGCATCAATTCGTAAGCTAATCGACAAACCTGTTACAAGAAAGAATAGGATAAAATCGAAAGGAGATTAAAGCCAAACTATTAAAATAAATGAACGAAATGAGGATAGGTGCCAATACCATGGTTTGACTTGATCATGTGAAATGAATTGAGGATTGAGTAGATCGATATTAATAAAAATAATATATTTGTAATACCCTTATGAGTAAGAAAAAAAAATAGGGTTCTTAAATTTCTGAAGTTTCGTGACTCAGTGTAAGACAATTCTTTAGAGAATAAATAACCAAATTAAATAAACCCAAGTTTAAATAGTACAAACGAACAAAGCAAGAATATGAATGGAAGGATAGCTACAAAAATGACTGTTGATAATATACAGATAAATGCCTATTAATGAAATTCAGTACTTTGCATTTATCGTGTTTGGGGCTAATCGACTATTTATAATACAAGGTTATCAAGCTTTGGAATTTACCTTTGGTACTTTTTGTCAGTATGAAACCACTACATGTTGATCCTCTAGCTTATAAACTTCCATAGAAAATGTGAAGATATTTATAAAAACAACTTATAAATCAACAATGAATAATTAGTTCAGTGGGAGTAATCAACAGATCGTGAGTTACAATGAAACTGCTATATCGGGATAAATATAAAACGATAGAGAACTTTCGGAACGATCCTACATGAAGTTATTGTTGACATTTTTTGTTGTTCAATTCTTAAATAGTTTAACCGTCACATTTTTGTATTCCCCACTTGTAAGATCTCGTTTCGTCTTTCCTATATCAAAATTAATTTATGAAGGACCTACCACTCAGTTCTCTTCCATTTATGGCACAGTTGTGCCCATATTGTAATTCATTAACTCTATTAACGTGTGGTCACGATTTCGCTCTATATTATTATAAGAGGTATTCATAGATTCGAAACGTATAATCAGATACTATCTGGTTGTTGGGTTGTTCTCTATTTTGGTTATCAGGCAAGCAAGCATGGGAAACTGAGTTCTGGGCCAATAATTAACTAGTTACTCTTGGATGTTATCTCACATTCAGCATATCAATGGTTAGCTGACGGTCATTAGTACTAGATTTATAGTTTAGGCGAACTAGTTGATGCTCGGACTAGATCAGTACAACTGTTCTACTGCCCTATAGTCCGGTCTGATAGGTCCAAAATAACTAGGCAGTAAAATCTGTTTATTTTGACCGACACATTAGAAACTAAATGCATACATGTCAAAATGTATTAGAAGTTGTAACACTGAATGAAACTAGGAAGTAGTAATTTCCGAATCCAAGCGAATCCCACTTATTTATCAAGTTAACGTTTCGAATACACATTCAAAGACGTTCTGTAGTATTTCGATTTCAAATCACTAGGATAGTCAACATTTTATCTCGAATTTACTTAGAATGAAACATCGCTTAACAAACCGATTTTTATCCACTTTATACATAAATCTATGTTACTCAGACAATTATCAGCTCGCAACATCACAAAATTAAAGTCTAACTCGAAGGTTATGAAGTTAAGTCAGTTATAATCAACGTAGGATCAAGAAATGATCGGCATTCAGACAAAGCTGGTTCGAATTTCACATCATAGACAAGGGATTACAAGTTGCCATGATCGTCATCAAAACAAGAAATTTAACTTACCTGTGAAGAAAAAGTGCAAACTAAATAATTCGTTCTTGATAAAGCGAACACGTCAGTTACCACACCCATAATAGAATCTTCATTTTTTCGTCTGAAGACAGAAGCTGAATTAGCACGTCCGCGATTACCATAAAATATATAGTTGGGATACTTTAATTTAGTTTCATTAAATACACTAGGGTCGTCTGTAGCTATATACACACGTCGTTGTACTGGTTTTAATTGGTGATATACATTATGACGAAACGGCGATTTGATGTCATTTCTCCACTCCTAATCGAAAGAATTTATGAAACTTATTTTATACCAAAATAAAAATTACTAGATTATGTAACAAGATTTTGTATAAAAAATGCAAGATAAAAATATCAGAAGTCAACCAACACTGGATACATTGCTCGTTTCACAATGCACAGAAAACGTGACTGATTACAAACCATGTCAGGTATATCCACATGTCAAAGAATTTCTATAACTTAAGAAAACGTTTACCAGCTCTGATACAGAGTACATCAATAATCATTAACTTGATAAAATAGTTTTGTGTCCTCGTATTTATTAATCCACTGCTAGTTAAAATGTTGAAATTTCTGTCTACATATTTGGCGAGCAATAAATATAACTGAACAACACTGATTTTAACTAGATTCTTATTAGGCTTTACTCCAATATATAGTAGCAATTACTGTTGAGCAGTACAGTTTCGGAAAGAAAAAATTCACGACAGAGACGAACTGAGTGGATTGAATCTTCACAACTAGAAATATAAACATTATTTAACTAAAACAACTCAGAGACTTGAGGTAATTTCAGATAGTAATTATTGACCTATAATAGGATTATTAGACTTTGAGTGTGTTAGCTTATAAAATGAATATGTCATGTACTTTATTTGCAATGATCATGATTAGTTTATGAGCTGAAACACTGTTGTGATGTCCGAATTTTAAAAAGTGGTTAGCTTGTAGTGACTCACATTCATCACGAGAACACGACGGGTTTAATAAAACCAACTATTATTATAACCAACTGTACCAGTGTTAGTTTTCATGTACTTTTGTTTAACTGTGCTAATTATAGCCATTTTGTGCTTCCATTACCTTCCATCATTGTTCCGCGGTTTTTGGTACTGTTCCCACGTACTCCTTTCTCGTGCTTCCACTTGTACCATTCCTTGGCACGATCTTGGTATTCGTTCAATACCACGAAATCGCCAACCAAATAAATCTGGTTACGTTCAACCTTCGCCTTCTGATTTACATGGCACGTGTTTCTTGGTAGCGGTGTTCATAGTTAATCTCGACTCGACACCACGCTACAAGCTAAGAAAAACTACTAAGAAGCCTTTACTCGCAGATGTATTCACATGATGGCCAGTGGACAAGGTGAAGTCATTTCTCGATGAATCTTGGTTACAATAAAACAGTTACAATATACATGAAAATTAATAGTTAAATACTTACTTCAGTTCTAGACATCATTTGACGTTTGGCATCTATGAATTGAAAATGGCTCTCAACTTCAGTCATATATTCTTCTAAACTATGAAAACTCGCTTCAGTATTTATCTAAAATCGTACAAAAAACGAAATGGTTAAGAAAAGGGTTAACTTAATAATTTATTCACATAAATCACGAAAGGATTAGACGAAACAGTGCTTTTTCATATTCATTAAGGTTCACAAAAAGTAACTTGTTCACGAACTATAGAAGGTATCTACCAACGAGTAGGTCAAATGTTAACCACCTAATACTAGGACCGAAAGGTTTATTGCTGCTTACATGAATTACTCAGTAAAATAAGAAAAATCTGAAGGTGAGACAACTAAACACAATGTTGCACCTGGTACATGTGTCAATCGCTTTAAGTTGACATAGCACGTTAGCACAGTGAGATAAAATTATTTCAAGATCAATCTCAGAGTATTAGAAGTAATAACAGTACCAGCAATATCAAGAAAAATTAGGTAAGAAAAAACAAGATATATGTATGGAGATGAAATACAAAAAATTATGTGGAATTTAGAAATTTGAAATCCAAGGGAAGATGAAGAATGGATGCCTTTCAGAAATTGCGAAAGATTTTGAGTCATGTCATTCAAAGTCCTTAACCGTTGATTGCGATAATCACGTAGAACCCAAACAGGCAGTCAAGATCTACCTACATGATTAGGCCAATTGTCAATGACTTCACAGACTAGTGTCACGTCGTGACCTGTTCACAACTAGATTTCCTCCAACCTACTCCTACATAGCTTAATAACAGTAAATCGTACAATAACAAATTATAGGTCAAAATAAAGCTTATAATAAGGGGAATATAAATATACATAATCTAATTACTGAATAGTTATACCATAATATTAGTCAATTAATGTCTCAGAAGTTACTCGTGACTTAATCTTCGCTCGGATATAACATCGTGAAAGGGTATTTCTTGAGGAACCTGAAAAGGAAGTTTGATTAATAAAGCAAGAACAAACATTGATGCAGAACAGTATGAATTCATAATATTTCGAGGTTTCTCGTCAGCTGCTTACAGCCAAATATGTAATAGAATTTTACATTGAGATAAGAAATATATGTATATATTATGAATCCGTACTATTCTGCATCAATATTTGTTCTTGCTTTATTTAAATTCATAAAGGGAACTAATTGCATGAAAGTTGGAGTAACGTTGGCCTAAAAGACCTGGGAGCGTGACCGCAGAGCCCACGGGACAACTGCTTGAAGTCGGTCGCGCACGGCCTTTTCGTGAAAGGTTTTGAATGTGTTAGCTCCGTTCTTCAAAGGGCCTTACCGCCGGAGACGGAAATCCGTGAGGTAAGGTGAGGTGTGACATTTTTAGGGTCAACCTTTTTTAACCCCTTCCTTCCTTGTGAGAAGGCGGTATCGCTGTAGACGCTGGTTGTCCGAGGGAAACACCTTACTGCTGTCACAACCCTCTACAGTCAGCAGTACGACTTCGCCCTCAGACCTTGAGTTGCTGCTTTTAGTCTTACCGTTCTCCAATCGACCTGCCAGGCATGGTAGAACCTACAGCAACATATGTTCCAGCCAATATAGCTCAATTGGGTCGTCACGATAGGCAAGCCCGACCATTGCGTCAAGGTAGCAGCTATGGTCGGGATAAAACTCATGAAACTCTCATGATAAGTGAAGCGGTCGCAGAGCAATCCTGGAGCAACATTTCTCACTATTGTTTAAGGCGGTTAGGAGACTGCAGTTTTTCAGTCTTCACTAAACAGAACTATACCATCTGCGTATTCCAAGTCAACAAATAAATATCCTAGTGAAAGATCAATAACTATAACGTTAGATGAGAGCGTCATCTCCAAAAGAATGTCTATGGTGAAGTTAATTAAAAATGAGAAAAGCGGAAAATCCTGACAAACACCACTTAAAATTATCAGTTCTGATCACAGTCGACTTGACCAGTAGCGTTTAGGTTGAGACTCAGAACAATCTTGATGTACTTCCTTGGTACGGCTTTCAATGACAGACACTCCAACAAAAACTCACGACCAACGGCGTCGAATACCGCCTTAATATCAAGGGATACAACCATAGTCAGACGTCAAAAAGTAATTTTTTGTTCCAGAACCTACCAAAAAGTAAGTATTCAGTCTATAAATCCATGTTCAGGTATGAAACGAGACTAAATTTTTCAGGTTTGCTCTTTCCGAACCTTGGTTAAGAGTTGAAGCTGATATTTTAGGCACTATATTAGTTAAACTAATTCTTCGATGATTGTCACAAAATAGTTTTTGTCCTTTCTTGTAAACTGCGACGACTAGCGATTGAAACCAATCAGATAGAATCACGTCCAGTTCCAAAATTCTAGCTAAGATATTATTCAATCTAACTGTTAAAACTGAGCTGCGATCCTTGAAGATTTTCGGGACTACTCCAACTGGACCTTTAATCGTTTAAATTACCTAAATCCATTCTTATTTTAGCCCAATAATAGCTTATTAGTTTTACGGAGCTTCTTTAATTACCCACATCCTGTCGAAATTTCATATTTATTTATTTATTTGAACACATAAATATTGGTACAAGAGAGCGCCAATATATATGCGCCACACAAAACAATGGGAATTCGAAGAGAAGTAGAAAGAAAAAAAAATTAAGGAACGCAAAAGAAAAAGAGAGTAATGACGAAGAGGTACAATCAGAAGAAATCTTTCAGGTAAGGGAGACACAACCACTTCTTATGAAGAAAGTAAAAGAAGGTTACAGCAGGATCGCCACGCTTCTATTCTGAGCCATATCTGGTAAAGTCTGTAGCCACTGTGTAGCACCATCTCTCGGACCCCAACCAGGGAGTCGTGAAGGACCGACAGAAGCCAGTCCTTTGCAGCTTTCTTTCATGCCACGCACTGACCACCTCTCCGCTTCTTCCAACCAGTCCCAGAGTCGGCAAATAATGCACGACGTGGAATTCTCTGGGACGACATTCGGAGAACATGTGCAAGCCGCCAAAGTCGATGTTTCAAGATGGTGACACCAATTGAGTTATCATCACTGTGCCCGAACACACGATGCCGAACCACTGCATTACTGACATGGTGTTGCCACTGAATGTCAGCAATCCTTCGGAGACAGCGATGATCGAACACAGAGAGTCGTCTAACGTCCTCAACTCGGAGAGGCCAGGTTTCAAAAGCATAGAGCAAAACTGCTCTCACCGACGCGTATTAGATCCGGCCTTTTACAGCCAGACTGACATCACGAAGGCGCCAAAGGTGGCCAAGAATGGCATAAGCCGCTCTGGCTTTCACTATTCGTGCATTGATCTCATCACTCACACCCCCACCAGCACTTATGCAGCTACCCAGATACACGAACTTCTCAACTACTTCTATCTGCTCACCGTCCAGAGTAAGTACAGGATTAGAATCCTGCCAGTCTTGTAGAAGTACTTTGCACTTCGGAGGTGCAAAGCACATACCATACCTACGGACACTGATTGCCAACTGATTAAGTGCGGATTGCATGCCTTGGGCATTATCGCACAGTAAGACAATATCGTCCGCATACTCAAGGTCGAGAAGTCTTTCTCCAGGCAACAGATCCACACCGCCATTACTTACATCCATCAGAGCTGTTTTCAGAATGTCGTCGATGGCAAATTGGAAGAGTAATGGTGAGATTGGGCAACCCTGCCTAACCCCACTGCTCGAATGGAACAATGGAGAGAGGTGGTTGTATGCCTAGAGGCTAGCTCGGTTCGATACTTACTTGCAACAGAAGTTGCAACCAGCTTGCTAACATCAATCCGTTGATGGCGTTCACTTCGTTGTCCACTGAAAAGTAAGGCAAGATTGGTGCAGACCAAGGCATGGTCAGAGTCCAGATAGGTACTCCAAAAGGAGCGGCAGTCTTGTACACAATCACGCCAGCGGTAGCTGATCGCGATGTGATCAATCTGAGTCCAGGCTTGAGATGCAGAGGGAGGACGCCAGGTGGCACATCGGCGATGACTGTGCCGAAAGTTAGTGCTAGCCAGAAACAGGTTGTGGTCTGTGCAAAGTTGCAGTAGACGGTCCCCGTTATCTGACCTGCGACCAACGAGTCCCCATCGGCCACCTAAACGACTCTCTTCTGTGCCTAGACGCCCGACCTGAGCATTCATGTCTCCGGCTAGTACTACAATATCTGTCGAACGCACTTTCTGGAGAAGAACAGGTAATTGGTGGTAAAACTCATTCTCGATTGCATCCGGGCTGCAATCTGTCGGGGCATAGGCGGAGATGACGAAAAGACATAGTTTCTCACGCCGATTTCTTCTCACTTTGATGGAACTTTCTAATCTAACAGCACATAACCGACTGTTAATGGGGATCCAATCGACTAGTGCTGCCTCAGCTCTAGCGCTTAGTGCGACACCAACGCCAGCAAGACCAGACGGAGATGCCACAGGGTCCCCGGATAAGCGCACGTAAAACAAGCTTTTCGAAGCGACAGATGGAGATCGAATTTGTAGTACTTCGCCAGAGTCTTGAATACGGGTCTCGGATAGACAGCACACGTCGATATTAAGACTTTCCAAAGACATAGCCAGCCCTATCTGTTGTCCGACCTGCATAAGTGTGCGAACGTTGAAGGCAGCCAGTTTGAATGGTGCACGTGGTTTCAGAAAATCTGCTTCAGTCCTCGTATTCGGTGGTAACATACAATTTTCAACCGGACAGTGACTCGAGAACGTTTAGATACAGTCGGAATTCCACCAAAGACGAGCCGCTGTATAAGTATAAAAGAGGGTGAATAATGTGGAAAATAATAATAATAATGATAATAATAACAATAATGACAATAATAGTAGTAATAATAATATAAGTATTAATAATGACAATAATTGTAATGATAATAATCTGAATCAATTGTTTGTTTTTCAAAGCGACAAAAGTAATTTCCATAGAAATAAAGAGTTCATCATTTGTGTGTGGGCTGTGATACTGCCCGGGTGCCCAAACCGAAGCAGGTGGTTATCTTAAGGGGCCACTCCCCGAGCCTTTGACCTAAAGGTCTAACCCACAAGGCAGTGGAGCATCGTAAGGAGATGCAGTCCCATGGTAGCCGGTGACCAACGATTGGTTCATACGCCATTCGTTCCCGCAGGATACTGGAGCCCATGTGCACCATTGATTTGGAATCCGGTTAAAGCGCCGGACATTCGCTTTTCGTCCTCTCATTTTCGTAAACAACACCCCCGCCACGAGAAGGCAATGAGTAGGACTTCCCTGGCAGAGGCTGTATACGCGTGGCCGTGTTAGAGTATTTCGAGAGGGAGAGCGGACTCTCCCCACTCTCGGCCGTACCAGGGCATTCAGGGGGCCGAAATTTCATAAACCTATATTATAATCATTTTGTTACCTCACTGTTTATTCGCTGTTTATACTTCTTCACGACGTTGAGGACGATAAAAATTATTCTACTAACCATTCAACCGATTTCCTTGCAATATCACTTATACACGTAAAATGCAGAGAAAACTAGCAAACACTTCGTTATCTAAATGACTTTACAGTTGATTTCTCATTTCATGACGTATGAACCAATTATTGACCACCGGCTACCATGCGACTGTATCTCCTGACTTTGTTCCACTGCCTTGTGGATGAGACCTTTAAGTCGAAGGCTCGAGGCGTGGCCTCCTAAGGAAACCACCTGTTTCGGTCTGGGCACTCGGGTAGTATCACAGCCCATACACAAATCAAGTGACTTGTGTAGCGCATATGTATTCGTTGCCCCTTTGTACCAATATTTATGTGTTCAAATAAATGAATCATTTCATCTAAGAAACAATTCTCAAACGATTTCAAAATTCGTTAGAAATCGTCAGTAAACTTAACAGATTAATATTTTTTGTCCACTATCATTTTGCCATGATGCGGCTGTTATTTCAGTTTGCTGTAAACCAATAAGATATATTACTCAGTAAAAGTTATTTCACCCAGTTCACAGTTTGCTATACTATTTAAGTTACCTTACCGTAACTCTCCACATTGTTTAAATCCTTTCTAGTATACCACTGATTAGATTTGTTCTATGAAATTGAAGTAATTCTCCGGTAGTCAAATATCTTTAATATGGCTAGGGAAACTTGTACATCGACATGAGTTATGTTTTATAATTAGTAATTTTACTCACAAATCTAACCGTAAATAATCACTTCGTCACACTAGTTAAGTAAAAGAAAATGAAAAACTGTATGATAAGAGTACACAAACTCACTTTATCCGTACGTCGGACATGAATACCAACAACTGGATTCTCATGTTGATCGTCGAATATTTTAAATTCTTCAGAGAAGTTAAACGATGGACGCATTAAAAATTTACCCAACTGACCAATGAACCACACAAATGGGGCACCATGTAAACGCGCAAGTAATTTGCTCAAATGACTGGGAACAGCTTGAGGGATCCAATCAAATGAAGAGCTTATTGTTTCTATGTGCGGACACGTAATTGCTTGATAGGTATTAAACGCCTTCCCATCAAAAACTACGAATGAGAAAAGTCAAGAAAAATTAACAAAAACATCTCCAACCAATCTAATTTTTGAACAACCATACCCATAAGTGATCAAACGCTGCAAACTTAAAGATTAGCTGAGGATGACCTAATTTCCCATCAGCAGAATAAGAACTAGATGTATTGAGGAATCAAAATCACCAAAAATAAAAGATAGCATGATAGTAACTTGTTATAAAAATCACTCAAGAGAATCACGAAACCGAACCCAAGGTTGTAGAAAAGTAAGATGGATAAGCGGCTTATGGAATCGCAAATAAGTAATTGGAAGTGACACGTATTTATTTCTTATGAACAGAAGACATAGTGTAAAAGACTTCTGAACAACCATTGATGTAAAGTGTTGGGTTATTGATTTTAGTACTAGACTTTAAACAAATGGATCAGGAGGTCAAACCTCTGTCTAGTACTATGTTCAAGGTAACTGAATGCCAGGTTTCACAAGCATGGAGCAAAACTGCTCTCACTGACGCGTTGTAGATCCGACCTTTTACAGCCAGACTGACATCAAGAAGGCGCCAAAGGTGGCCAAGAATGGCATAAGCCGCTCTGGCTTTCACTATTCGTGCATTGATCTCATCACTCACACCCCCACCAGCACTTATGCAGCTACCCAGATACACGAACTTCTCGACTACTTCTATCTGTTCACCATCCAGAGTAAGTACAGGATTAGAATCCTGCCAGTCTTGTAGAAGTACTTTGCACTTCGGAGGTGCAAAGCACATACCATACCTACGGACACTGATTGCCAACTGATTAAGTGCGGATTGCATGCCTTGGGCATTATCGCACAGTAAGACAATATCGTCCGCATACTCAAGGTCGAGAAGTCTTTCTCCAGGCAACAGATCCACACCGCCATTACTTACATCCATCAGAGCTGTTTTCAGAATGTCGTCGATGGCAAATTGGAAGAGTAATGGTGAGATTGGGCAACCCTGCTTAACCCCACTGCTCGAATGGAACAATGGAGAGAGGTGGTTGTATGCCCTCACTCTGCCTGAAGTGTTTGTATATAGGGCTTTGAGGATGTTAATATGCTTCTCAGGCACACCCTTCTTTAAAAGATAATCCCAGAGAACAGTCCTTTTCAATGAATCAAAGGCGGCCCTACTGTCACGAAACACTACGATTGTTGGCCTTTGATAAGTATGGCGGTGTTCTAACATTTGGTGGAGGGTGAAGATATGATCAATACATCCTCGACCAGAACGAAACCCAGCCTGCTCCTCGCGAGTCAATCATTCTCGGGTTTTGAACAACCTACGAAGTATGACGGAAGCCAACAGCTTGAACGCAATCGGAAGTAGACTTACCCCCCGATAGTTGTTGCAGGAACGATGTGAACCCTTATTAAAGATAGGGACAACTATCGACTCATTCCATGACGTTGGTACACTCTCTAGCTCCCAGACCTTTTTAAACAACGTCGTCAGTTCCTTAGTCAGAAAGTCACCACAATTTTTAGAAAGGGCAGGAGGTAAGTCATCTGGGCCCAGTGATTTGTAGCGCTTCAAGAGTTGGAGTTCCTTGCGGACTTCCACCTCATTTGGTGGATCAGTAGTCATCGACCATGGAGGGCAGGACAGTCTGATCAATGTTGCCGAAGCAGCAGGCCAGTCGAACTGCCCTTCGAAAAATTCTGCCCATCGTACAAGACGTCGATGGATGTTAGTGATTGGCATCCCTTCATCTTTACAGGTTGTTTGGCTCACACCAAACCTCTTGACGCCGGTGAATCGGATGAGTTGAAAGAACATCCGGCAGTTACCAGATGCAACTGCTGCTTCAAACTCATTGACACACTCCGACCACCAGGCTTCTTGGTTCTTACGCAAGTTTTGCACAATTTCATTGTGTAACAGTATTCATTTGTGAACAAATTCGTGGTCACCCGGAGTAGACCGACTAGCTTCAACAAGCTGTAAGGAGCCTAAAAAACCCAGTGCTTATAAGCGGGACGTTTCGCGAACCCACAACTGACTGTACCCGCCATTTTGATGGCGTCATGCAATTGCAACCAATGCTCATCTATACTTTTCGGTGGAATGGTAGCTAGCCTTGAACCTAGCCCGCTTTGATATTTAGTTGCAACAGAAGCTGAAACCATTTTACTGACATTGATCCGTATAGGACGAAGGTAAGATTACCACAAACAAGGGCATGGTCAGAGTACAGATAGATACTCCAAAAGGAGCAGTAGTCCTGCACCGGTTCAGACGTTCAGAACGATGGGCAAAACACTTTAAGGAGCAGTTCAGCTGACCTTCAGCTACTCTACAACTACCCACTATGCTCAAACAGCCTGAATGGAACATTGAAGTAGGTTGGGGATGGAAGAAAGTCAGGGGCGGCCAAAGCAAAACGTGGCATTAGTTCTTGAAGTCACTAAATTCTAGTCTGAGACATGTTGGTAGATACAGGCTATTTGGTTGGGGTCCGTATAATTATCGTAACCAACGGTTGGAGACTCTGGATGACATAGCTCAGAATCGATCACAATCGCGTAGATGCAAACATTCTTTGTCTGTTCTTAAACAGTGAGATTAAAATAGCTTTATACCTTTCTTCCTGTATGATATCCTGATACACAATCTTTCATATATATATTACCACCACTGAATTAACTACTATGAATTTGGTGTTCGTCTTGCATTGCTAATGAGGTGTGGCAACTTGGACCGATGCATATGTGTGCCTGGTCCTACACTGAAACAGACAGTCTGACTGCAGTCGTGTACACAACCACACCAACGATAGCTGATCGCGATGTGATCAATCTGAGTCCAGGCTTTGATCGCATTCGGCTTGCAATATGTCGGAGTGTATGCAGAGATGACGAAAGCACATCATTTCTTATACTGATTTCTACTCACTTTGATGGAGCTTTCTAGTTTAACAGGACATAACCGACTGTCATTAGGAATCCAATCATTCAGTGCTGCCTCAGCTCTAGCGTTTAATGAAGCACCAACCCCAGCAAAACCAGACGAAGATACCACAGGGTCCCCAGATAAACTCACGTGAAGCAAGCTCTTCGAAGTGACAGATGGAAAGTGAACTTGCAGTACTTTAGTAGAGTCTTGAATAAGGGTCTCGGATAGACATCAGACGCCGATATTAAAACTTTCTAAAGACAGCCAACCCTATCTGTTGCCCGATCTCATTTAGTGTGCGAACGTTGAAGGAGACTGGTTTGAATTGCATACATGGTTTCAGAAAGACTGTTTCAGTATTCGTAGTCGGTGGTAGAACAGATTTCCACCACAGGCGAACTGTTGTATAAGTTGAAAAGTAAGAATACACAAAGTGAGAATAGAAGAGAATAGATAAGTGACGTAGTATATTAAAAATGAAAATGAATGCTATCAAATGATTGTGAATGTAATTTGTCTGAATGCTAATTAAAGCAAGAATATTTTTTCTTAGTAGTTATCGTCATTTGAATTAAAAACCAGAAAGTACAACATTGAGTAGACAATGGTGTGTTTCGGTACATGGACTTCCATAATATGTTAGTCGCTTATGTTTGGTTTTTTTCAATTAATCAATCTATTGAAATTTGTGGATAATTTTCAAAGTGGGAAGATGGGGAACTGAAAGTGTTTTCTTAGTTCCCTTAAGAACTGGCACTCTGGGGTATCGCTGTATAAACATAGGATTTTTTCACTGTCAATATGAAAAACACTAGTTGGACACTTAGCTAAACATTTCAAAATACTTTTTATTCGTTATCCATCAGGAAGATAACTGCGTTTGCAACACTTTTAGGATTACTACCGATCCCAATCTCAGGTGGAGAAGGGTAAGCAACACAACCTCGTAAAACGAAACCCGCCAAAAATAACCTAACTAGAGTAAATAAGTTAAACTGACTAAACTGCTCCGGAACTCGGTCTTGATTTATAGGAGTTATGACACTTCGTAATGGAACCCGCGACTTCGAAGAGTCACAATGCCAGTGTTCCTTTTACCAGCTATATCGAAAGCAAAAATATATATATGAGATATAGAATGTACAAGCGATGTAGAAGACCGAAAGGCTCATTCTAATAGCCGTAGAAATGAGAAAATGCAGCCTGGTATTGCTTGAAATAAATTAAACTCATCGAAAATAATCTGGACAAGAAAGACTAACTTCAAGAGAGATTCTGCAGTCTTAATTACTTACTTACGCCTGTTACTCCCAATGGAGCATAGGCCGCTGACCAGCATTCTCCAACCCACTCTGTCCTGGGCCTTCTTTTCTAGTTCCATCCAATTCTTGTTCATTTTTCAAATGTCTATCTCCATTTCCCGACGTAATGTGTTCTTTGGTCTTCCTCTTTTCCTTTGACCTTCAGGATTCCATGCGAGGGCTTGTCTTGTGACGCAGTTGGGTGCTTTCCTCAATGTGTGTCCTATCCACTTCCAGAGCTTCTTCCTGATTTCTTCCTCCACTGGGATCTGGTTTGTTCTCTTCTACAGTACGTTGTTGCTAATAGTGTCCGGCCAATGGATCTGAAGTATTTTGCGTAGACAATTGTTAATAAACACCTGTATTTTCTGGATGATGGCTTTCGTAGTTCTCCAGGTTTCTGCCCCATACAGTAGAACTGTCTTGACATTTGCATTGAAAATCCTGACCTTGGTGTTGGTTGACAGTTGCTTTGAGCTCCAGATGTTCTTCAGTTGTAAATATGCTGCTCTTGCTTTGCCGATCCGCGCCTTCACATCTGCATCAGATCCACCCTGTTCATCAATGATGCTGCCCAAATACGTAAAGGTTTTTACATCTTCCAAATCTTCTCCGTCAAGTGTGATTGGATTGGTGCATTCTGTGTTGTATCGGAGAATCCTGCTTTTCCCTTTGTGTATATTGAGACCTACTACTGATGAGGCTGCTGCCACACTGTTCGTCTTCTCCTGCATCTGTTGTTGCGTTTGGGATAGAAGGGCCAGATCATCTGCGAAGTCTAGATCATCCAATTGCATCTTAGATGCCCATTGTATCCCGTGCTTACCTTCAGACGTTGACGTCTTCATGATCCAGTCGATCACCAGGAGAAAGAGAAAGGGTGAGAGTAAGCAACCTTGCCTAACACCGGTCTTCACTTCGAACGACTTTGTCAACTGTCCTCCATGCACGATTTTGCAGTGTAATCCATCATATGAGTTCTGTATGATATTGACTATCTTCTGAGGCACGCCGTAGTGTCGAAGAAGTTTCCATAGTGTTGTTCTGTTCACGCTATCAAATGCCTTTTCGTAGTCAATGAAGTTGATGTAGAGTGATGAATTCCATTCAATTGATTGTTCCACAATGATCCGTAGAGTTGCGATTTGGTCTGTACACGATCTATCCTTACGGAATCCTGCCTGTTGGTCACGAAGTTGGGCGTCTACGCAGTCCTTCATCCTGTTTAACAATACCCTGTTGAAGACTTTTCCCGGTATTGAGAGAACAGTGATGCCCCTGTAGTTATCACACTTGCTGAGATCTCCTTTCTTTGGTATTTTGATCAGAAGTCCTTCTTTCCAGTCTGTTGGTACTTGTTCTCCATCCCAAATCTTATTGAAGAGAATGTGGAGTATCCTTGCAGCTGCCGCTACGTCTGCCTTTAGTGCCTCTGCTGGGATGTTGTCCGATCCTGCTGCTTTGCCACTCTTGATTTGTCTGATAGCCATGCTGATTTCTTCAATTGTTGGTGGCCCAACATTGATTGGGAGGTCCGTGGGTGCTGCTTCGATGTTGGGTGGGTTCAGTGGAGCTGGTCGATTCAACAGTTCTTTGAAGTGTTCTACCCACCTGTTTTGTTGCTCTTCAATGTTGGTGATTACCTTGCCTTCCTTGCTTTTCACTGGTCGTTCTGGTTTGCGGCGATTTCCAGAGAGTTTCTTTGTCGTGTCATACAATTGTCTCATGTTTCCTTCTCTTGCAGCCTTTTCCGCCGCCGTTGCTAAATCTTCCACATATTTACGTTTGTCGGTTCTGATGCTCCTCTTTACTTGTTTGTTTACTTCTGTGTATTCAGCTTGTGCCTTGGCTTTTTCTGCTCTTGTTCGACTGGTATTGATTGCTGCCTTCTTGTTCCTTCTTTCTTGAATCTTATCCAGTGTATTAACAGTGATCCATTCTTTGTGATGGTGCTTCTTGTGACCCAGGACCTCATGATATATTGAAGTGATTGCCTCTTTGATCCCCTTCCAGTTGCTCTCCACAGTAGTTCCTTCTCCATTGAGTAGATCATGAAAGGCCTGGAACTTGTTGCTGAGGACTATCTTGAATTTGTTGAGTTTGTTAGTATCCTGGAGAAAGGCCGTATTGAACTTTTGTGATATTGTCCGCCCCGTTGTCCAGTGTTTCTTGAGTTTCAATTTCATCTTGGCGACCAGCAAGTGATGATCTGATGCTATATCAGCTTCTCTTTTGATTCTCACGTCCTCTATAGTCCTCCTGAACGTTTTGTTGATGCAAATATGGTCGATTTGGTTTTGTGTAGAGTGATCCGGTGAAGTCCATGTGGTTTTGTGTATGCGTTTATATGGGAATATGGTGCCGCCTATGACCAGCTTATTGAAGGCACATAGATTTGCAAATCTCTCGCCATTTTCGTTTCTTTCTCCCAGTCCGTGTCGTCCCATGATGTCTTCATATCCAGTGTTGTCCGTTCCCACCTTGGCGTTGAAATCTCCCATCAGAATGGTCAGGTCCTTTGTTGGGCACTTCTCGACTATTGACTGCAGCCTATTGTAGAATTGATCTTTAGCGTCTTTATTGTCGTCGTTGGTAGGCGCATAGCATTGGATGATGTTCATTGAAATGCCCTCTTTCTTTGTTTTGAACGAGGCTTTGATGATCCTTGGTCCATGAGATTCCCATCCTATAAGCGCATTTTGCGCTTGTTTGGAAGGCTCTTCCGGTGTCCCACATTGTACGAACATTCCATGTACCTAAATAAATGGTCGCTCTGGTTGTCAGAAGGGGCATCGGCCTCGTAAATTCCGAAGGAATTCGGCTTTCATCATGAGGCGTCATAATTCTTCTAAATGAAGATCTTCTGACTCCCAGGGCAGAGTTTAAAAGGTTTGAATATTTTTTTCTGGTTAGCGTTTTTTTAGCGAGTTAGTTTTCTACGGGATGGGGACGCTAACCCCATGCCCAACCCTCCTCCTTTATCCGGGCTTGGGACCGGCAGTAGCCCCCGGAGGGGCTCCAGGCGGAGTTCTGGAGTCTGGTCATAAATAATAAATCAAATAAAAATATTTGGCACTAAACACCTCTAAAGAAACATTAAAAGCGCTTATAGAATAAGAGACTCATGGCTTTAGGATCATCAAACTGTCCTTCAAAACGAAGAATGAAAAGATCACAATGAATGTCTCCCAGTACTACTTCACACTTAACAATACCAATGGTGGCAGCAAAAATAATAAAAGCCAATTTCATGAGGCTTCAGTTTACCAAGAAAAGACCTGACCATCCAGACGGGAGACCTAATCATTAAAGACAGAGTAGACAACGACGGGCATCAAGACATCACGAGGCGACATGGATTGAAGGAAAGAAAAGAGAATGAGACAATAATGAATTTCTGCACTTCGACAACATGGTCCTAGGTAGAAACATTTACCCCCGTAAATCTATGCACAAAACTACTTGAGTTTCACTGGATAACATCCGGTAGATGTAGAGCTAACCCCAAGAATATTTTATATTCTCTGCTGAAAGATCTAGGAAGGAGAACAAGTACAGAAAGAATGGAAAAAAGAAAACCTTATTAAGATAACAAACAAAAAAGGTTTTAATAAGTGTGAAAACCATCGAAGTAACATACCACTTTCAGTACCAGAAAAGGTTATCAACATTGTTGTTGAACCGAATCAAAAATCCAATGGACGGCCAGATTAAAAAAAGATAAAGGGGATTAAGCAGACCAAAGAATATATGGTACTGGTAACTGTATTTATTATTTATTTAAACACACAAACATTGGTACAAGGAGGCACCAAATATATATGAGCCACATAAATCACTCGATTTGTGCGAGGGTTGGGATACTGCCCGGGTGCTAAGACCGAATCAGGTGGTTTTCTTAGGGGGCCACACCCCGAGCCTTTAACCTAAAGGTCTAATCCAAAAGGCAGTGGAGCATCGTGAGGAGATGCAGTCCCATGGTAGCCGGTGACCAACGATTGGTTCATACGCCATTTCTCCCTGCAGGATACTGAAGCCCATGTGCACCATTGGTTTGGAATCCGGTTGAAGCGCCGTATATTCGCCTTTCGTCCTCTCATTTTCGTAAACAACACCCTCGCCACGAGAAGGTAGTGAGTAGGACTTCCCTAGCAGAGGCTGTATACGCGTGGCCGTGTGAGAGCATTTCGAGAGGGAGGGCAGGCCCACCCCACTCTCGGCCATACCAGGGCATTTGGGGGCACTGGTAACTGGAAGGAGACACTAAAATCATCAATACGACTTCGGAACAACTGAGTAAGAGACTATATGAAAGAGAACTTTAGAGATCTCTTTCAGAAGCCTAGAACTCAAGAGGCATAGCAGGCCCAAGTAAGTCATAAGAAATATGTCATTTGTAAACAGATAAGTTATTTGTAGAAACAAATCTTTTGTGTATTGATATCAAACAAAATGGATATTATCGCACCACATCACACTAGCATAATTCTTAAGATAAATGAAGAACGGCAAAATTACACTGGAACTATAAATATTTTTTAAAGAAAGCTTACAATCAGAATGGATATTTGACTGAATGTCATTTATACTGCATTTCTGAGATAATGGCAAAAAGTTTTTTATCCACCAGTGTGTGTATTCCTCCCCATCAGTAGGATTCAAGATTAATGTACGCCCAGTTGCATAGGCCATTTGAAAACAATGCATTAAATGATGGGCATTACAACCGAATGCACAAGGTTTATTTAACGAGGCAACCACATATTTAGCTTTTGTACAACTTGAGGGATTCTGTAAACAAAACAATTACAAAATAAACGAAGTAGAATATAAATAAGCTCTCGTTAATTAATTAAATATATTAGTATATAAATCATAGATTATTGTACAGAATTTTCTAACAGTGAAATACAAATTCAAATCTACCATACTTTGCTTTAGCGATTGATTCTATGTTATGGTATTCAACATCTCTAAACACTGATCGCGGTTATCATGTGGACCTCAACCAGGTATTCTGCACCTACCTACATGGCTCAGTACAATAGTTAGTGACTTCATGGACTGATATCACGTTTAGGTTTGGCTGGGCCTAGCGATTATTATTTATAGTGCCAATGATAATATGATACATCCAGTAAAGATATATTCACTTTTAGTTTCATCTTAGACTCTGAATCCCGAAATCTTCTTCTACTCCTTTTCTGTTATTATACTTATTTTTTCCTACTACAACTACAACTGATACTGTTAATACTGGTATAGAGAGCCAATCAGTAGTAGCCTAATGAGAAGGTCAATCAATGGCAATCAGAAGTGACCTAAACGACAAGTGCACTTCATTGCCTAGGAAATGGATCAATTTCATAAATATTAGAGTGGTAAATATATATGAGTGAGTATTTGTGCATTTTATTCGGTAGCCCGATACACTTTCTCGCTCACTCTTGTGCCCTCACTCAAGTGGTTAGTTGGGGGGTTAGTGCCCCGAATGAAGAGTCCTCTCTCCCTCACGAAATGACCAGGCGTATACAGACATTGATAGTGAAGTACTACTCATTGCCTTCGCGCGGCATCACTGTTGTTTATGAAATTGAGAGGACGAAAAGAAAATGTCCGGTGCTCTTAATCGGGTTGCTGGACACGGAGGATCAACCTAGAGGAGTTGGAAAACCCTGATTCAAAACCAATGGTGCACATGGGCTCTAGGATCCTGTAGGAACAAATGGCGTATGAGCCAAATGGTCACTAGCTACCGTGGGACTGTATCTACTGACGTTGCTCCACTGCCTTGTGGATTAGACCTTTATTTAAATGTCTCGGGGTGTGTCCCTCTAAGGAAGTCACCTGCTTCGGATTGGGCGTCCAGGCAGTATTCCAGCCCTCTCACAGATCGAATAATTTGTGTGATGCAAATATATTTGGTGCCTCCTTGTACCAATCTTTATGTTTAAATAAATAAATAAAATGATAAACATAGCACACCGTGTATCAGTATCAGATTTTGGACACCGCTCATCACAACAAATACTTTCACTGTTCTGCGATTCGCGTTGATAATTCCATTTCGCTGTGCTAATGTGGTGGAACAACTTGGGTCGATGTATATGCATGTAAGGCTTTATGTTGCATATGATTGACTGATTGACAAACGAAAGTAATAAGCTAAATAGCAAAAAGGACGAAGTAATGATAGTATCAGTCAGCTACAACGTAGGACCCGGCACATATGTGCATCGGTCCAGGTTGCCATACCGCATCAGCACAACAAGATGAACACCGGATTCATAGCAGTGGTTAGGTCAAAGGTGGTAATATATAAGAGAAAGATTGCATATAGAGATATAGTACAAGAAGAAAAAATTGGTTCGTAAAAAGAAAGGTATGAAGCGATTTTAATCTCTCAGTTTAAAGGAAGACAGAAAGTGTATACACCGACGCCATTGTGATCGATTCTGAGCCATGTCACCAAGAGTCTCCAACCATTCGTTACGATAGTCACGCGGACCCCAACCAAGTAGTCTGCATCTACCAACATGGCCCAGACTAGAAGTTAATGACTTCAAGCACTGATGCCACGTTTTGGTTTGGCCGCCCCTAACTTTCTTCCAACCATCTCCAATACCGGATAGCATTGCACGTCGTGGTAATCGGTATTCAGGCATACGTAACACGTGGCCCAACCATCTCAGTCGATGAAGATTCATAGCCTCATCAACTGATTTGCCATCATTCCCTAATACCCTGCGTCTAACCTCACTATTACTTACCCGGTGATCCCAGCAGACGCCAGCAATATTTCTAAGACATCTGTGGTCAAATACTAGTAGCTTACAAGTGTCTTCTACTCTTAATGACCGTTGTTGCTCCCGACCGTTGTTTGTTGCTACCTTGACGTGGTGGTCGGGCTTGCCTATCGTGATGAAGCAACCGAGCTATACTGGATGGAACAATCGTTCCTCAAGGTCCTACCATGTCAGACAGGTCGGTTGAAGAGCGGTAAGACTAAATGCAACAAACCCATGGTCCGAAGGCGAAGTCGTACTGCTGACTGTACAGAGGTGTGACAGCAGTAAGGTGTTTCCTTCAGACAACCAGCATGACAGTGATGCTGCCTTCCCACAAGGAGGGGTGGAGTTAGAAAAGGTCGACCCTAAAAATGCACACCTCGCCTTATCCCACGGATATCCGTCTCCGGCGGTAAGGTCTCAACAAGTACGGAGCTAACACAAAAATTACTCATAAAAAGTTCGTGTGTGACTGACCTCAAGCAGTTGTCCCTTGGGCACTGCGGTCACGCTCTCTGGTTACTTATACAAACTCTAGCCCTATTTCCTTTCCAGGTACCTCCAGAAGAACCCTTCCACGGTGTGGGCAACCGGGAAGTGATAACCGCCCTCATACCTCTAACAGCACCCAAGACCACTGTATTCATAATCAACCTTCCTCTTCAATGATAGTATCATTGGTGGTGAAAAGGACTAAATACTGAAAACGCGGCTGGAATTGAATGAATCGAAATGAGTTACGTATAAAGGAATATATGAAGCCAAAATATAGAGTAAAATAAACATTAAGTGTATCTGAATCACCCCTAGCAGTTCTGAGACATGACATGCCAAACCATTAATTATTATAGGTATCATTACCAAGGTTTGATTTGATAATTTCGAATAAACTGAGCATTGGGCAGATTGTTATAAATAAATAGTATATTTGTAATATCCCAATGAATGGAAAAATTAGATTTTCTATTCATTGGGATATTACAAATATACTATTTATTTACATTAATTATTAATCACTTGAACCCCAACCAGGTAACCTGGATCTATGAAAAAGTGCCCAAAAAACAGTAAATGATTATAGAGACTGATACTATATTTTGGGTTGACCGCTTCTAGCTTTTCTTTGCTAACTTGCTCCTATCACAGCCATCAGTGAACAGCGAGGAAAGCAGTAAGTAGATTATACTTTTTAACCCCTTCAGTCGATAAAAATTCACAGAACTATCAACCAACTTGATATAACTGCCCAGTACTTGACGCATAATGTAGGCATTGCTTACGATACGCAACCGATGCTTTGACGTCACTTATGGTCACATTGCTTGTCTCCTAGCCTTTTAGTCCAAGTCCCAAAGCTATAAAGTAAGAGCGGAGTGATGAGCAGTGTATCCTCCTCCACGGTTGAAAGACGGTCACCTTTCCTACGCAAATTCGCAAAAACTAAGCAAGCTTTCTCAATGTATCCCGAGATTTCATCAGTCCCCAACAAATGAAATTCAGGAGCTAAAGTCAATAAACCACCGATCAATTTTCAAGGAACACCCTAATAAGGCTGGGTGATTAGAATAACAGAAGGATTCAAAGGTGAGGGTCTTGACAGTCAACATTTTTCATCTAATGAGACAAGATTAATAGCATCTTAAAAATAAGAATACGGAAATTGAATACTGATGACATGCACTATACAAATGAAAAAATAAACTGACAGATCTACAACATACATTCATAAGTTCATTGAGGCTGTGAATAGATATTTTTATTCAATTTCTTTTCTGGACTTGTTTCCATCTATTCTTCATATTTTTTAGTTGAACTAGAGACTTTTAACTCATGATTTATGGTTCCTTACCTTGTTAATCTCTGCTAACTATCCTATTCTATGGTTTACAATTTGCGTAACACCAAAAAGTAATAGGTCGCAAAAATATATTCGGCTCAGAAAAATTGGTCAATTAAAGACGAAACAAAACAGAAAATTTTGTGTACCTATTAACACAGATCCGAAATAACTTATGTACTTATAAGGTCGCAAATCGATTAACATCCCATTCAAAAAAACGAGCCTACGTTTGAGAAAATAAAGTTGTAGATGAATAAAATAATCCTACTTAATTCACGAGTGGTATGTTATCTATTAAATATGAATACTGAGAAACAAATAGTGTCTTTAAACAACCTGTACAAAAGAAACAGAATAAAATGCAATTCTGCATTGTGGAATTTAGAAGTATGGTTTTAGGTTTCCAAGGTTATCTGCTGTCAATTTCCACACATTTATTTAGGGGAAGGTTATGGAAGGCTAGGAGCACCCACAATTTCCAACAACAAAAGGTAGTGATTGTCGTATGCTGTTAACGAGTTCAATATGAACAGGGGATTAGTTTTAAAATGTGCAGAGTTGTAGTTAGTTAGTTCAGACATTACGTCACATTTTCAAATCACACTCCATTAATTAAGGGTAAGTATAATTTCGTAGTCCTAATATAATCACCATAGGTAAAACAGCCTAATGTCACCGTTATGAAGTTGTTATAAAGCTCAAAATAATAAGACACAATATTATTTAACGTGCAACCAACCTGCAATTGGAATAATTCACTTTGAAGTTCATTTGATAAATATTCCAGATAATTCATTCGTGATTCCAACACACCGTCAACTCGTCCAATTCCATCAATATCAACGTGCAAGTGTAATGAAATATCTTGTAACTGACTTTTTAATCGCTCCAGTGAGACTTGCACTTCTTCTAACGGTTTGATTAAAGAGTAGTTTTCAATAGTTTTTATTTTCACACCCACATTATCAAGTTGAACAAGACTATACTTGACTTCACGAGCATACTGCAAAGCACGACGACGTAAGATTTCATATGACATACCATGTATCCCAACTATGAGAATAAGTAAAATAAACGAGTAATACCGATAAACATACTGTTATAATTCTCTCTTATTACGACCCAAATATTCCTATTGCTTAGTATTCTTGGACACCAATTCACTCGACAAGTCCCCAAATCAGAACACGGTTGAACAGATTATACTCCAAATAACAAATTTAGATGGAAGTAAGAAGCACAATAGGAGAAACGTTAGTATGTTTATAGTTTTTACATAAGAGGATCTTAGTGTTCTCCAAGTATCGACTAGCGCTGATTGGATAGGAATTAGATAATCAGCGTGCGCCAACGCAAGCGTGCATTGAGCATGATTTAATCCACTCTACGCCCCGCTAACACACACTGAATAACTTTTACACAAATAACGAATATTCTTGATGTGTTATTGCTCGTCACACTTAAAATTTCTAGGGTAGAAGCCTGTTTGAACGCTACTTCCCCCTATACCCGGTTAGTATGGTCTTTACAACGTATCATCCATATGTCGGCAGGAAAATGAGCACTTGCCAATAAGCCGTGCCAGTGTACTGTTTTCTAGTATAGTGAGAAAAATGTCAGCCAGTACGGGACCTAGTAGTGAACCTAGTGTGACAATATCTATTCGGCCATAGATTTCACCATTGAATTTGAAGTTTACGTTCATATTACAGTTTAGTAATATTTCCTTAACGATGCCCAAATGGATTTTAGTTTCTAGTTCTAGTTCTCTAAGTTGTTCACAGATATATTCGACTGTTTTCATGAGTGAGACATTTGTATACAATCATGCTACGTCAAAGGACATTATCTTTTGTTCTTTAGTTTGTTTTTGATCTTGTCGACGAACTAGAATACATCCTTCATTAGATATTTATGGAGTGGCTTTAAAATGGTTACTAATAGCTTTACTAAAGTATGATGAGGGGAATCGTACATGTCCAGAATTGGTTACAATGGGATATCTGGTATACGTACCTTCGGTAATCCATATAACTTTTGTGAATGAGTGCTTATCGGCTTAACTGGTTCGTATGCACGTGGTGAAGTTATGCTGTCATTTGAACTTTTTCACAGATCTGGTATGTTTATTTTCTATCTTATTACTGATGTATTTGTGGTCATTCAGTTTTTAGGATTTTAAGTGATCAGTCAAGATGTTAGACTTGTCAATACAGTTTTTAGCTAAGACAGTTCCTGTTCCTTCACCCGGCCTTTTAATAATAAGATTTTCCTCCTTAATGAGTTCATCGATAGCCTTCATGTGTGTTTTTTTACTAAAGGGTTTCTTAGTTATACTCACTGTTTTTAAACTTATAGCAACAATCGAGATTTGATTCAGAACGTTCAATTTCTTAATCGGAGGTCGGAACTAGATCTGATGTCTGAAAAGTCTTAAAACTGAATTTCCGTTGTGTGTACCATAAAACTTTAAGCCTAGGGCTAAAACTCCAAGTTTCCCTTTGTTTAATTCCGTACCAGAAAAATTATGAAGGTACATATTAGGTTTAGTGGAAACTCAATTTTCGACTGGTAGATTTCTTAAGCTTTTCAGAAGTTCTCCGATCTCTGGTTAAGTATATCTCTGCAACGTGATCAATAATCTGTGACCTAAGGCCTATGTTAGTCCACTAAAAGCAAAATTCTTTGAGAACAATGTTTATTGCTATCTCCTTCGAATCAGTATCGGATCCCCATTAACAGTCGGTTATGTGCTGTAAGATTACAGAGTTCCATCAAAGTGAGGAGAAATCGGCGTGAGAAACGATGTCTTTTCGTCATCTCCGCCTATGCCCCGACAGATTGCAGCCCGGATGCAATCAAGGTTGAGTTTTACCACCAATTACCTGTTCTTCTCCAGAAAGTGCGTTCGACAGATATTGTAGTACTAGCCGGAGACATGAATGCTCAGGTCGGGCGTCTAGGCACAGAAGAGAGTCGTTTAGGTGGCCGATGGGGACTCGTTGGTCGCAGGTCAGATAACGGGGACCGTCTACTGCAACTTTGCACAGACCACAACCTGTTTCTGGCTAGCACTAACTTTCGGCACAGTCATCGCCGATGTGCCACCTGGCGTCCTCCCTCTGCATCTCAAGCCTGGACTCAGATTGATCACATCGCGATCAGCTACCGCTGGCGTGGTTGTGTACAAGACTGCCGCTCCTTTTGGAGTACCTATCTGGACTCTGAACATGCCTTGGTCTGCGCCAATCTTAACTTACTTTTCAGTGGCCAACCAAATGATCGCCACCAAAGGACTGATGTCAGCAAGTTGGTTGTAACTTCTGTTGTAGGTAAGTACCGAACCGAGCTAGTTTCTAGGCTAGCTACCATTCCACCGAAAAGTATAGATGAGCATTGGTTGCAATTGCATGACGCCATCAAAATGGCGGGTACAGTCAGTTGTGGGTTCGCGAAACGTCCCGCTTATAAGCACTGGGTTTTTTAGGCTCCTTACAGCTTGTTGAAGCTAGTCGGTCTACTCCGGGTGACCACGAATTTGTTCACAAATGAATACTGTTACACAATGAAATTGTGCAAAACTTGCGTAAGAACCAAGAAGCCTGGTGGTCGGAGTGTGTCAATGAGTTTGAAGCAGCAGTTGCATCTGGTAACTGCCGGATGTTCTTTCAACTCATCCGATTCACCGGCGTCAAGAGGTTTGGTGTGAGCCAAACAACCTGTAAAGATGAAGGGATGCCAATCACTAACATCCATCGACGTCTTGTACGATGGGCAGAATTTTTCGAAGGGCAGTTCGACTGGCCTGCTGCTTCGGCAACATTGATCAGACTGTCCTGCCCTCCATGGTCGATGACTACTGATCCACCAAATGAGGTGGAAGTCCGCAAGGAACTCCAACTCTTGAAGCGCTACAAATCACTGGGCCCAGATGACTTACCTCCTGCCCTTTCTAAAAATTGTGGTGACTTTCTGACTAAGGAACTGACGACGTTGTTTAAAAAGGTCTGGGAGCTAGAGAGTGTACCAACGTCATGGAATGAGTCGATAGTTGTCCCTATCTTTAATAAGGGTTCACATCGTTCCTGCAACAACTATCGGGGGGTAAGTCTACTTCCGATTGCGTTCAAGCTGTTGGCTTCCGTCATACTTCGTAGGTTGTTCAAAACCCGAGAATGATTGACTCGCGAGGAGCAGGCTGGGTTTCGTTCTGGTCGAGGATGTATTGATCATATCTTCACCCTCCACCAAATGTTAGAACACCGCCATACTTATCAAAGGCCAACAATCGTAGTGTTTCGTGACAGTAGGGCCGCCTTTGATTCATTGAAAAGGACTGTTCTCTGGGATTATCTTTTAAAGAAGGGTGTGCCTGAGAAGCATATTAACATCCTCAAAGCCCTATATACAAACACTTCAGGCAGAGTGAGGGCATACAACCACCTCTCTCCATTGTTCCATTCGAGCAGTGGGGTTAAGCAGGGTTGCCCAATCTCACCATTACTCTTCCAATTTGCCATCGACGACATTCTGAAAACAGCTCTGATGGATGTAAGTAATGGCGGTGTGGATTTGTTGCCTGGAGAAAGACTTCTCGACCTTGAGTATGCGGACGATATTGTCTTACTGTGCGATAATGCCCAAGGCATGCAATCCGCACTTAATCAGTTGGCAATCAGTGTCCGTAGGTTTGGTATGTGCTTTGCACCTTCGAAGTGCAAAGTACTTCTACAAGACTGGCAGGATTCTAATCCTGTACTTACTCTGGATGGTGAACAGATAGAAGTAGTCGAGAAGTTCGTGTATCTGGGTAGCTGCATAAGTGCTGGTGGGGGCGTGAGTGATGAGATCGATTCACGTATAATGAAAGCCAGAGCGGCTTATGCCAATCTGGTCCACCTTTGGGGCCTTCTTGATGTCAGTCTGGCTGTAAAAGGTCGGATCTACAACGCGTCAGTGAGAGCAGTTTTGCTCCATGCTTGCGAAACCTGGCTTCTTTGAGTTGAGGATGTTAGACGACTCTGTGTTTGATTATCGTTGTCTCCGAAGGATTGCTAACATCCAGTGGCAGCACCATGTTAGTAATGCAGAGGTTCGGCATCGTGTGTTCGGGTGCGGAGACGATAGTTCAATTGATGTCACCATCTTGAAACATCGACTTTGGCGGCTTGCACATGTTCTACGAATGTGGTCCTAGAGAATTCCTCGTCGTGCATTACTTGCCGACTCTGGGACTGGTTGGAGAAAGCGGAGAGGTGGTCAGTATACGACATGGTGTCGTGATATGAAAGAAAGCTGCAAAGGGGTGGTTTGTGTTGGTCCTTCACGACTCTCTGGCTAGGGTCCGAGAGATAGAACTACACAGTGGCTAGAGACGTTACTATATATGGCTCAGAATAGAAGCCAGTGGCGATCCTGCTGTAACCTTCTTTTACTTTTTTCGTAAAAAGTGGTTGTATCTTCCTTAACTGAAAGATTTCTTCTGATTGTACCTTTCCGTTCCCCCATTATTATTAGTATTATTTTTATGCCACCACACCAATCTCGTCATTGTTTTTTTTACGCTCCTTACCTTTTTTTCTTCTCTTTAAATTCTCAATGTTTTGTATGGCACATACATATTTGGCGCACTCTTGTACCAATATGTATGTGCTCAAATAAATAAATAATAAATAAATAGTATTGAATGTATCGATTTGGTAAAATGCATGACGTTTTAATGCTTATCTGTCTAGATGAATCTGATTAAGGAGTAATGACTTAAAGAATAGTTTAGGATACTAACCTAACTCAACAAAGTTTCCCACAAATTCCGATATTTTTGTCTCTATGACCTTTACACTACACTCAAGGAACTAGTTGAGTGTCTTCAATGCAATGGGTTGATTACATTCTATTCGCTGAAAAATTCCCACCATATTTAAAACAGATATAAGAACGAAGAACATTCTCAATAAATTCTCTTAAGCTTATACAATTATATATTCAAATTCATAATCCGAAAATTAACCACGTTTAGTGTACAAATTCTGATAACACCTCTCAATATAATTTGCTCCACAAGAACACTTGAATTTACATACATATAAAGAGATGATTAGTCTATGTAATCCATACTTCAATCTTGGAGTGACCATCGAACGTGTAGAAAGCATTAATTGTAGTTTCCCTACGCAACTTTAGCCTTGGATTCACATGTTATAATTTTAAACGATGTAATTACCTTAAATGTAGCTAATTTTCAAATTGTTAATTTGAATATATAATTGTACAAGCTTAACCGAATTTTTTAATATTCATCGCTCATATATCAGTGTTTCCTATAAACATAAGATTAAACCGGAATATACTGGTAAATATATCATAATATATTGACACATTATGCAGTGAATACTTATAGCCCAGAAAATGAATATTCCCAATAAGGAATTATTTTCAGTCGGTATTAAAATGTTTAAGGGTGAACTAAAAACAGTAGCAAGTATGATACACCATCAAGACCATGTAATTAATGATTTAAAGCTCATAGTGTTTTATATGGAAAATATTTAGTCAATACCAGAAGTTGTCATACACAACTTACCTCTTTTTACAATAGTATTTTCTTTTTTGTTTCTATTGCAGAAAAAATCAAATTAATCGGAATATTCTATTATTATAATTCATATTATTGATATCTTTTAAAACATGAAAACATGTTGCAGCATTTGAAGACAAATTTTTAAATGGGATTATTGAATATATTTGTTGCTTGATAGCTCCACAAGGGGTAACAGGCGAAAGTAAATAGCTTGTTCACTTCTCAGTCAATCATTAACAAAGAGCTTCGGACAGATGTGTAATGTCTAGTTGTCATATACCATTAGCATAGGATGAAAAGCGAGATCAAAATAATGAGGCAAAAATGACGACGAAATATACCAAACATTGAAAACAAGGCTCGAAATGTCAGCGGAAAGGTAAATGTGGGAGAATACTGGGAGCAGCAGTTACTACGCGGACCAAAACCAGGTAATCTGTACTTACCTACGTGGCTCAGTACAAAAGTCAATGACTTCATGGACTGATTGCATATTTTGGTTTAATCACTCCTGGTTTTCTTTTGTCTTAATTATAAACTACACAGCATCGTCTGTCGAAATATGCAGTAGTTAGGCATTCTCAACACATGTTCCAATCACCTTAGTTGATGACAACTTATTACCTCATCAACTGATTTGGCATCCTTAGCTCGTAGTCTATGCCTAATTATAACATTTTTCATTCGGTGATACCAACATACACGAGCAAAGTTAATGTACTTCTTTGGTTACGAAACCTCTCGGTCAACAGAGTCAAATGCCGTCTTAAGGTCAAGAAAGACAACTGTTGTCGGGGGCAAAAAGTACGCCTTTTTTCTAAATCTTAACGAAAAGCAAACATACATCCACAGTCAGGTTTAAATCAACTGGTTTTCCAGAGTTTTCGTTTCATGAACCTTAGTTTAGCGTTAGATTATGGAGGCTAGTATTTTAGACACTACATCAGTCAAACTGATTCCACTGTGGTTGTGGAAGATGATACTTGTCCTTTCTCCCTAACCATAACGATCACTGGTCAAAACCAGACGGATGGGAATACGTCGAGCTCTCAATCTCTAGCTAGTGTTCGTGGGTCTGATAACTGCGACTGGACCACTATCCTTGAAGATCTCCAGCGTTAGCCTATTAAAACCTACTGCTTACCCTTGTTTTAGATTCCCTGTAGGCTTTCTAACCTCAAGTGTTGAGAAACGTAAGTCAGTTTTTCATGCACGTCGTTTGAAAATAATGCGCAACTGCAGTTCATTTGAAGTATTATCTAAAGTGTTCTACCAAACGGTCTAACCTTATGGACTGGGAGTGAATAACTACTGCTTTTCTTGGGATCTCACTAAGGACATTCATATATTCGTCTCATTGATGAGCCGCAATATTTATTTAGTGTTACCTACTGTGCCTCTTTTCCATCCCTTTGACTTTCGTTGTCTACCACTACTTATGATCATTGGGTAAACTTCTCGTTATCTAGCTTCATTACCATTCTTCAAGTTTAACAGGATGAGTTTTAGAACATGTCAGTTTAAGAGATACCACCAAAACCCACTGATTTTTCCTAAACCTTGATTTAGGTTGCTGGTAGATGCTACTGAAGTATTTATAGACGTTTGGGTCTACTACAACTATGACGTCCAAGCGCTTAGCAAGCGCATCTTTTACTGGGACCAAGCTGCAGTGTAGGCAGAAACGATGAAAACGCAACAGCGTGTGCTATCATGTCTCCAACTTTTTACTATCCCATCAAGACGGACAGGATATAAGCAACTATCGACAGGAATCCAATCAGAAATTGCCTATGTTGTTTCTAGACCTAGTGCCAATGTTCACCAGGATTTAGTGAAGTCCTCAGAATTTGCTCACCATCTATGGATTAGAGAGTTGAATTCCACACCAGATGACATCAGCGTGGCACGTCACTTGCCTCTCCTTATCTCGATCTTACTACTGTTTTCTTTTGTACATTATAAGTAGATGCAAAATATATAATTAAGTGAATCAATTTAAGCGCCTGAAAAGGAATAGTTTTAGTGAAAGATTAGTTAATTTTAAAAACTATAACTAACTTAGCATTGTACGACGTAAGAAATATTCTTAAATTTGCCGACCCGATATCGACTTGCGATTTTAAACCAGTAATTACATCCAGTAAATTTTGACAAGCTAAACTTTGCTGATCACTACTTTCCAAATTGAAGAAACTGGAACTCAAATAGATAATTACGCAAATCCATAAAACGACTGCTGTAGTTACCAAAGGACGTACATGGGGAAAATCTTTAAAACCTATAAATACATAAGAGAGTATATGAAAATGCTTACGTGTAACGACCATTTACGAGATTAATATACGCGCCTTATTAGTAGGGCAATGTTTCAGAATCGAGAAGAGAAAAACACTAAATTCCTTAGGTCATCACACAACGAAATTCGCTTTCATATGGACCAATATCACAACAGGATTTCTCGGCAGTGTAAAAAGTTCAGGTGAGTTATATACTACAAATAATTTTTTTAATTAACTGAGGGATTAAATACGTGAAACTTATAACTGGCTTACGTGAAGAGTTTACTACAACACTTTCCTAGCAAGTAGTTGTAATCATTAGGTATCATTAGCAGAAATGAAATTCCCGATCCTTAACAAGTAGTAAATAAGATTCGGACTACTCCAAAACCCGGACAGCTTTGTGACTTAGAAAAAACCATGCTACGCAGCTTTCATAACAATCCACCCAAGATGTTACCCAAACGCAAACGGGTGACCCATCTAGGTCTGTAACTGAAGTAATCCATGAAGCTTCAGGGCTGCTAAATTGATTTCCAGCAAAATAACCTAATGACGTCCAGCAGTAGCAGTGATAGTTTAACAGCATGTTAATTTCTGCCGGATAAAGTGTAACGCTCTTCACTAATTTTCCTTGCAACATAATCACGTTTGACGTTGAAATGGGTAACGTTTTGCTTTATATCAACCAGAGACATTCGATTTGCACATAACTCTTTTCAAATTCATCTACGAATTTCCGGGTCAAAGTTAATGCTTACAGACTTCAACGTTCACCAATTCTTCCCGTTTTCCGATGGTATATATGGCTATTATTTTAAAACCGACGGTTGAGTAGTACCGTGTACTCCATATCATACGACGATTTCAATATATCCACACGCTATTCAAAGTAAACTGTATGTTATGATGAAACTTGGTGAGGAGTTTTAGCAGGGGGATTGCACGTTATAAGTTTGTTCTGACAATAAACATTTCAGTGCACATAGGATAGTTAGCTGGGTTAAGTGCAACCCAGTTAGAAAAAGAAATTTAACTAGAAAGGTTACACAGCCAGAGATGTGATGGTTTCGGCCAATCAGTAAACAGCATTGAGAATGAAATATTAAAAAATCTGTATTTACCAAAAAGAGAAATCTTAAAGTTTGATGGTACACCGACAAATTATTGGATTTTTATTAGCAGTTTCGAAGAATGCATCGAGAGTGAAAATATTGGATTTAGATCTAAGTTAAATTACTTGATTCAGTATTGTGACGGAGAAGCGAGAGCCGCTATCCTTCATTGTACTATACTAGAACCAGAGGTAGGTTATCGTTGAGCTCTTAAGCTTCTAGAGGAAACGTTTGGCCAAAAACACGTCATAGCGCTCACGTTTATCGACAGCTTGTTAAACTTTCCCAATATAAAAAGGACTCAACCAGATGGTTTCGGAAGACTGTCTCGAGAAATGCAAATATGCGGTCTGACTCCCAAACAGATGAATTACCCTTATGATTTGAACTCTTCCAGAACTATTGAAATTATGGTTCTGAAATTACTAACGCACATTCAACAAGAGTGGCTAAAGGTAGCTTATAAGATTATCATAAGAGGTTGAAAGCCTCTGTTTGCCGATCTTACTGAGTTCGTAAAGGAACAAGCTGATATAGCTAATACTAGATATGGTCTACCTGAAAACTGCGGTAGTAATAGTGACAGTAAGGGTGTTGGTATTTTAAAAAGGGAAAATTAATGCAGATTACAATACAGTAAGGATATTTTATACGAATACTAGTGATGACAATATCCCCTTACGTAGTTCATCCTGTTTAGAGTTCTCAGGTAATCAATTTTTAGATCAGTGTCAGAAGTTTAGAAACAAGAATGTTAGAGAAGGGAAAGAATTCGTTCTCAGACACAAGATATGTAATGCTTGTCTGAAAACAAGCTATGAAGCAAAAAACCGTCGATCGCTGAGGTCATGTGCTGCTGAAGGATGTGCTTGGAGACACCATACTCTGTTACACAGAAATCAGGAAGAACAAAGAAATGGCAGTAGTGATGTCTACAATAATACCCAGATCTACAAGGATGGGAGTGGTAGGAGTATACAGAGACCAGTAGCATTTACTTCAGTGCCTGTATGTACGAAAAGTGATGAGAAGATTATTCAAACTTGCGCCTTTTAGATAGTGAATCAGATACCTCCGTCATTGTTGATGGTCTGGCTGATGAGTTAGGCATCGAGGGAAAACCGAAATTGGTATCTTTAGGGACTCTTAGTAATGAATCGCCGTTGGTATCCAAAGAGGTCGATGAAAAGTTGCACTCGGTAGATTTTGCGTCGCACCTTAAGGTCCAGAAAGTGGTAACATTAAAAAAACTACCGGTGGTTTACCGGACTGTACCAACGGTGCATCAAATGGCATCCTAGTCCCACTTAAAAGACATAAGTTTTTCGAGAGTAGAGGATGAGAATGTTGAACTACTGATTGGGTGTAACGCACCTGGCATACACGAGATGAGAGGCGTAAGAATCGGAAAGACGAATGACCCATCTGCCATGAAGACTCCATTAAGTTGGACGTTGTTCGGGCCTTACAAGGAGTCTCATGAAAACAAACGTGTACTTAATTATCTCTCAGATTGGGAGGAAGAAGATCACTAACTTTATTATTGAACTGAGTGGGAATTATTGCGTGTTCGGTAGTTTTCAACCTGTCTGGAGTGAATAAACAACAATTAACTTGCTAATCATAGAATGATGCTACTATCGAAAGACGTATTTAAGAGTGACACATCAAAGGATGGACAATTTTTTCATAAACGGTGAATAATCCATGACAGACATAGGGCGAAAATTACTTATTTCCTGGCGCACTATTCAAAACAAGCATTCCTAGTTTTCCTCGCCGAGTAAATCTTTTAGTTTTGATTGCATCCTAAGGTATGAAAGCTGGTTTATAACTATTATGGTTTAATTTTCCGTTACAGTAACAAAGAAATCTCAATTACTGGTGTCCAGTGTTTATCACGTACAGAGCTTTAGAAACATATTTTAGAAACCAGTCTCTCATTTTTTCTTTCAAGTTTAAAGAGTTTTTCTTTTGTGTTCTCCCTGTGAGCTCACCTAACGATTTTAATGAGGCAAACAAAACACCGCTGTGGTACACCCACATGTTTCTTTTCGCTTGAGAATGGAATGAGGTATAACGACTGAACCAAGTGGTATCACAGAATGTGCATCGTAACCACTCTGGCTTTATATGAAAAATTCTGCAAGCCACTATCTTATTAGCTGTGCAAAGTGCGTTGCTCTAGGCATTCTCTGCTGATTCTTAGGGTGACTTATCTGCCAAACACAGCTAGAAATATGCCATCAGATAAACATTCAGCATCAGATTAGTAGCTGTCAGATTTCAAGAAGTCAGCGAGCGTTATCAGGAAGCTAGATTATATCTAAATGGAGCCATCAAAATGGACTCCAAGACTCACTGGGTGACCCATAAAAAGACATAGACACCTTTACAAAGTAAACAAAACAGCAAGCTGAGCAAAAAACAAATAACAGAGAGCTCTAAAACATATGCTTGGACGGTCTTAGCTGCAGATTTCCATATCAGCGCAAACCAGACTATACGAGAGCCTGACCTTAAACATACCACAGGTACTGGCAATTTGACAACGTCCAGATCCATAATATCTGCACAGAGTGTACCAACCCAGGTAAATCAGAAGACAGAACCGAAGTGGTTCGAAGAGATGTTTGAAGGGCTATCGATATATCGGGAAGCGTTCAATGTGAGCTGCTTATCGGTTGTAAGGAATGCATAGCACTGTGTGGCCATTCATGATCTGGGGCGGATGTGTGACCGAACGCCTTCGGTTGGGTGAGTCCATTAAAGCGAATGCGGTCAGCATCAAATGTCGAAGAATAACAGGACGATTGATTGTCGGGATTTATTTCCTACTATAGATCACTCACCCACTAGTGTGGTAGTGATGACTCTAAGACGCTGCCAGTCAGAAGTTTAAACTCGATGAGTTTGCCGTTGGTAAGTACTCTTCTAATAGCTTGCAATTTTCAGCAGGGTCTGGTTGTCTTTCCTTACTATAAGGTTCATGTGGTACAGCACAGTAATGGAGGAACCTGCAAAATTAAAATTTCGATTCATCGTAAACTTCGCCAATATTTCCCGACTTTTCCAGCCGTCCCGGCAAAGAATAAGAAATTATATGTAAGCATACGTCGAATTATACTCATTCGTGCGTACAGACAAAGCGGGCAATAAAGGAAAATAAAGTAATATACGTGCGTTTCGCAAACACACAATAGCGTAAAAACGTTTTTTACGGAATTTTTCGAAAAAATAAAAATATACACATATAAGCGAGCATATTAGCAATATATATATATGAGCGTATTAAAAATAGTTTGTTTAGTGACATAATATAAAGAAAGCTCGAGACGAAGCAAAGTGTTATGTATTGTCTTACGTGTATTAATCTCTTAGGTGATCTGGAAACCCTAATCTTCTTCCAGAACGCGTTGTTTTGAGTCTGTTGTCAGATACCACCAAAGTCACATTGTAATTGTTGGATATCGGATGAGACATTGTAAATGTAGGACTCGTGTCTTTCAATCGTACCGAAGGGAAATCTACATGAATAGAGTTTCCTTTTAAATACTCAGCTTTGGGGCAATCGATGATGATCTTATCGTTAGTTCCGCTCTTATCGATGATACAGTACTTAGGTTCACTCTGAAGAACTTTGAAGTGTCCTCTGTACACTGAGTCGAGAGATCGACGAATTGGGTCTGGACGTACAAAAACGTATGTACCGTATCGTAGGGCAGGTTGAACGAAAACATCAGTTGATTGAGGTCGGCTGAAAACAGGTTTAACTGAACAAACCACGTTTGTAAGCCTGCTCGTATTGGAGTTTACATCCGTATTGGTTGAAAAATATGAAAGGTCCACGAACTCTCCTGGAAGTCGGAGTGTCGGTCCATAAGCGAGTTGAGTTGCGGTGCATCCGATATCAGCTTTCACTGCATGGCGAATACCAAGTAAGATGAGTGTAAGAGCGTTGGTTCACCGTGAAATGTTTGCATCTGATAAGGTGGCTTTCAACTGTCGGTGAAAGCGCTCTACCAACTCGTTCGCTTGTGGGTGCTATG